ATAATTGAATGTTGAATTTGCATAGTTAAATATGTAATTCTAAGTTTACAAATGCAAGATAATATAGTCAAGATTGATTATAATTGTCAATAAAATTATTGTATATGTATGGTTGAAATCAAATACGAGACATAAGGGAGAGCAAATAAAAAATAGAGCATAAAATATTAAATATATACTAATATTGAAGAGCTAAATTCTGATTGCCAAACAAGGACATTGAGATGTAGTTTTCGACATCAATTTGTTGTGTGGTTTGGATATTTTTTTGGCAAATAAATTCCCCAAGTAGTTAATATGATTGGCTTAATTAAAGTTTTTTTAAAACTATTATTATTATTATTATTATTATTATTATTATTATTATTATTATTATTATTAAATATATGTATACCCTTAGGTCATTTTACATGTTAATCTAAACAGCTAATTTTTTCAAATATTTTTTTACCAACCGTTGATATAATTCGCTGGTCAAATTCGTTAATATAATCCGCTAACGCTAACCGCTAACTGCTGATTATCAAACAAGGACATTGCGAGGTAGTTCTCACTTCAATTTGTTATGTGATTTGAATAATCTCTTTCTCAACAAATCCCTCAAGTAGTTAATATGATTGGCTTTATTAATTATATATTTTTTTAATTTTTTTATGGTATTAATAAAATACTTGGTAAATAAATATATAGCATTATTTTGTATTATAACTTTGATATTTAATTTGAAAATAGTGCACAGAAAAATAATAGACAATGTAGTGAATATAATCAATTAATGAATTTGAATGTAAAGAATTTTTACATTGGAGAAATATAAAGACAATATAACTAATAAAATTATTTCTCTTAATTAATTTATTGATAATGAATATTTTTTTTAATAAAGACATTGTAGGGACAGTGTAACGAATATAATCAATTGATGACTTTGAATATAAAGAATTTTTATATTGGAGAAAAATACATTTAATATAACTAATGAAATTATTTCTCTTATTTAATTTATTAATAATGAATAATTTATTTTGAATAAAGACATTTTAGACACATAATTCTGAATTAAAGAAATGCATATGTATTATTTTTTGTTGTAGCTACTAAATTATTATTTAATTTAATTAGAGTAAAATAGAGTACTAATTATGCCAACTTTGATTAAGATGAGGTTCGAACCTAAGACCTTTCATATATTGAAATCAATGAGTAAGTTAACGGTGAACTAATAGAAGTTAACGGAAAAGATAATATTTAACGGAAAAGTTAACGGATAATCATATTCATTAAGGATAAATTAGGAAATCTTAAAGAAAAATTAAAATCTGATCAATCTGGCCCATTCATTTGATTAAAAAATTTGACCGCCATTTTTTCTACCCATTATAGGCCTAACTCTCTTGGGCTGTTATTAGTATAGTATATATATATATATATATATATATATATATATATATATATATATATATAATGGCATATATACTCGGATTTTCGGACAGTTTGGGTAGGGTTTTATACAACCCTACCCGTTTAAATATATCTGCAATAAATAATGGATTTGGTTCCAAATGCTTAGCTTCGTCGGGTTCGGATACCCATTCCATCCCATACTTCGAATTTCGGCCCAGGTGGTGATTCGCGCAAATTATGCAGTAGACTAGTGCCACAATGTATTGTGGACACGAGTCCAAAACAACGTCATTTTTAGAGAAAACGCATTATTTCAGTTAAAAAAAAATTTGATTTTGTCTCGCCATTAACGACGTTAACGGCGTTATTCGTTTGTGCCATTATGAATGTACAGTTATGGGATTATGAATGTACAATTATGGAATTATGAATGTAAGTTATGAAATTATGAATGTAAGTTATAAAATTATGAACACAGAGCTCTGACATTATGAACTTACAATATGAACATATAGTGATAAAATTATGAACATAGAGCTCTAAAATTGTGAACATAGAGCTTCGAAAATTATGAAGTTACAGTTATTGAATTATGAATGTACAGTTACGGAATTATGAATGTACAGTTATGGAAGTATGATGTACAGTTATGGAATTATGAACATAGAGCTCTGACATTATGAACTTACAATTATGAACATATAGTAATAAAATTATGAACATATACTCCTATAACAAAGCGGTCTGAATTTTTTTTTTTAAAAAAAAAAAGATAAGAAGAAGAAGAAGAAGATAACAGTGCCTAATGGCACTGTTACCCGTGTCCAGCATGCATGCTGGACACGGGTCCATAGCATAACGATTGGGTGATTCAGGTGGATCGAAAATTGCACAACTCTAAAGAATACATAATACATAATTAGTTAATTACAAAAAGAGTAAATACTCAAAATGGTCCCTCGACTATAGCTAAATTCACAAATTGGTCATCGACTTTCAATTTCAACCAATTAAGTCTTTAACTTTGTAATTTTGACACGATTTGGTCCTCCATCTATTTGACCGTTTGTTGACCGTGATCGATGATCTCCAGAAGAACCTTCAGCTCTCGTCGAAGCACGTGGAGGCCTCCAGGATGACGTTGCATTGGTTTGGAAACACGTCGTCTTCTTCGCTCTGGTACGAACTCAACTACATTGAATCCAAAGGGAGGATGAAGAAAGGCGGTCGGATTTGGTAGATTGCTTTTTGGCAGTGGATTTAAATGTAACAGTGCGGTCTGGAAATGCAACCAGAACCTTAAAAAATTGACGATGGAGCATGAAATCGCATATATATATATATATATATATATATATATATATATATATATATATATATATATATATATATATATATATATCTTCAAAAATCACAGTCAATAAACGGTCAAATAGACAGAAGACCAAATTGTGTTAAAATTACAAACTTAAGGACTTAATTGGTTGAAATTGAAAGTCGATGACCAATTTGTGAATTTAGCTATAGTCAAGGGACCATTTTGGATATTTACTCTTACAAAAACATGTAGCTCATGGAAAACTTACAAAAACATGTAGCTCATGGAAAACATTAAAATGCAATCTCAGCCTCATTTGTAACAGTTCAACCACAAGAAGGTCCACGCATTATTATTACTCTCTCTCCCATTTTATCTATCATATACTTATTATTCATTGATCAAACTAACTCTTTTTTCTTAGTTTATTTTCTTTAGTATTCTTTAATTATTTTTAAATTTAATTTTTTTTTGTGTTTAATAGTATTTTTAGTGTAGTTTTTAAATATATAAATTTTATAAACTAATACTAAACTTAATATTATGAAAAATTAGATTAAAAATAATTTCAGTCAAGTCTCGTTAACCAAACCAGACACATAAAATAGGACGGAAGTAATATTATTATTAAATAGACTTCAATGCTTAGCCACCTAACAACTATTACATGGCCCTCTCGTTATTAAATTGCAAGAGAAAGACTGGCATTCTTGTTTGGAAAATGATAGTGTATGAGACATGAAAAATGGGCAGAATTTATTTATTTATTTTTTAATTTCGTATGATTTTTCCTTTAAAAAAAATGATTTGAATCACATTTCATAAAACAACCAATATATCTAAGTACCGACGCTCTCTTTTCAAGGTTGGCCCTAGCCATATGTAAATTTTTTTTATGTGTACGAGACTTGAAAAATGGAGAGTATTTTTTATTTTTAATCTATTTTGAATTTCATAAAAGAATGTTTTTTTTTTTAATGATTTGAATCCCATTTCATAATACAAAAAATTATGAAAACAACCCATGTATATATGTAGCATTGACGCCCTCTTCTTCTCCGTAATGGTCGAAATTCCAACTCCAAGGACCCTACATCCCGATCGACAGAGTATTTAGGATGATGTAAATCTGCACGGTAACTTAATGACAGGACCAAATGTGGGTAAACATAAAGGATCTGTCCACTTTAAACATAACCTCTACATTACCACCGCAGAGCTAGGCTCGAACTTCGGTCTTTCAAGGTTGTACGTATGTAGTACAACTAATGCGCAGGCCCTCCGTACACCCTATGAAATGTAATTAGAATGAAATAATTGGAAAAAAAAATCAAATTTGGAGATTATTTAGAAGATTTAAATTACTTTTTTTCATTATATATTTTAAATATATTAATTTTAATTGTACGAAAAGAAACAAAATTAAATTTAAGTTTTGTTTTTTTAAGTATTATTTGGAGACAAAAATTAAGGATTATTTAATTGTTAGATCTTGTTGTAACTCAAATAATTTGTCAAAATTTTAAATATCTTACATGTTTTTATCTGAGATCAAGGTGATTTAAAACTTGTAGAAGAGTATATGTGATTCATGCAAAAAGTTATTGATTCTTATTTTTCTTGATTTCAACTAAATAAGCTGTTGCCAAAAAAAAAAAACCTAAATAAGCTAAAATTTCGCCGTACGTGTACTACTCCTCCGCAAATATTGTTGCAAAATTTATTGTGGAGGGTGGGTGTGCCAGATATATATATATATATATATATATATATATATATATATATATATATATATATATATATATATATATATATATATTAATAATACTATTGACTTGTTACAATGTAGGATTTGTTCATATATACTTTCTCAACGATCACAAAAAATCAATATTAGATAAGTTTAGTTATGCTCTACAAATAATAAACATCATGTATAGCATAAATGAGCTTAGAATATACATGCATAAATAATTAACTTTTATTCAGTTTGTACACGCTCAAATAATGAACCTTATGCACACAAACAGTAAACCTTATGCATATAAATAATGAACCTTCAAACTATTTTGTACAAATTCAAATAATGAACATTACGTATAAAAATAATATATTTGTACATATAAATAATGCATGGTCCACACAACAATGATTCCCACCTAATAAGCATTGAATATATGTACTTTTGTTTCCCGTTAAGTTTCTGCTTTTACTTGGTGCCCTACACAATAAAAATAAATAAGGAGACTAGTGTCGGCAGGCCTATATAAGACTACAAGGATGAGCTGAGTTTCTCACAACTAAGAATTGAATCACTCACTACAGAATCTCTTTCAATTGAGTGTTTGGTATAAGATGGGCCTAAAAGGAAAGCTACTTGGGCAGATAGAGATCAGTTTTCATGGAGATTTATTTCATGAAATCCTTGGAGCCAGACCCCATCATCTGCCTTCCATGACCTCAGTCATTCATGCAGTTGATGGCCAGTGGGGAACTCAGGGCTGTACCACAATCTATAAATTTACCCAAGGTACGGTAGCCACCCCAGCCCAGACTTGTGATTCTAGTCGGGACTGTTGAGCATATAATCATTAATGTGCAATCCAACTAGTTGAGATGGAGCACATGCTTCAATTTAGTATCAGAGTCAGACATATGGTAATGGGTTCGAATCTCTAGGTCACCCTATTTTTAGTTGTGACCCTTGTTGGTAAAGAATTACAAAAGAGTTGAGATTTGAACTTGTGATCTTATGATTACAAGTTTGTTTCCTTAGCTATCTTATTAATTAGTTGGGTTATCGCACCCTAGACTTTTGTTTTAATTTAATTTCTTTCCACCCTTAATTTTCCATCAAATGTTACGTTACGTGACCTTTTTGGGCGTACAGGTGGGAAAACTGAAACCGCGGAGACTGCCATGGACACCATAGATGATGAGAAGAAAATGGTGAAATACAGAGTGGTAAAAGGTGACGTCTTGGAATCCTATAAGAGTTTCATTGCAACATGTGAAGTTGAAACCAATGGGGATGACAACTTTGTGACTTGGACTATTGTGTATGAAAAGCTCAAAGAAGAAATTCCTGAGCCACTCAGCTATATGGAGTATTTTTTTACAGTGACCAAGGAATTGGACGATCACCATGCCAAGCCGAACCCATGAATATGAGTCGTAATAATAATGAATAATAATATATTAAATAATGGATGCTTTGTGATGTATCGTATTACTGCCTCTGTATTCAAAGTGCATGTGTGTTGTAAAATAAGTAAGGGATTATTTCCTTGAAGTTCATAAATATTAAAATAAAATAATGTGGTATTTTATAATATTTAATACTTCCTATTATCTTCTTTGTGTATTATATTATGGGCAACAAACATTATTAATATGATCAAGTCTGATATGTAAATGAGCTATGAACAAATTATAATTTATAAGTAGTGTACTACTACACTCCAATATATTTATTTGCTACGTTTTTTATTTTTGTTTAAATGGTTAACGGTTAATGTAAATGAGCTATGGACAATGTATAATAGTGTTGTGGCTTACCATGGAGTGATATGATGTAGTTAAATGGTTAATGTCCACTTACCTATCACCAATTTATTTTTAGTAGGAAGATAGCCAAAGAACTCTTTGCTTAAGCGTGCGGGAATTAAGCATAGTGCGCTGATGAGATCCATCAAACATAACATAATTTAACACAATCTAAACAACACTATTCCAACAATAAAAAGTTTGCTAACTACTATTAGGACTCTATTATCCATATTAAACTAGGACTATATTATTCGTGTTAGACTAGAATTCTATCTAGCATCTCTATATATTCGCTCTCTGTACTCTCCGATATTATCATTGAATACAGAAAATATATTCTCATCTGGTATCAGCTAGGTTTTTCCAAGGAAAATATCGGTGTTAATGACGGCTCTGTTCTTGGTTCCTCTGAACGGACGGTTACCGAGATTCCTACGATGCCTGCGAGTGGTAGCCTCTCATCGGCTCATCACTTTGTTTCGTTAAAGTTGACATCCCGGATTATCTATTCTGTCATACTCATATATTATCGAGTGCGGGGAAATCATTTTACAATTTAGTTTGAAACCTCAAGATGTCGCCACCCAGTTGACTTTAGTTTGACCGCTATTGTTTTAGTCCATGATTATATGAATCATCTACTATAGCTGTAGATCATAGCAAAAAAAAAAAAAAAAATCTTTTCTTTGTCATCGGAAAATACCTTCCGAAAATAGGGTTTCACCCAAAATGGTCAACAAAAAGACAAAAAATGTCCAAAATATGATAGTCTATAGTGTTAAATGGTAAAAATTATTGTCTGGAATTAAATTTAGAATTGTAATCAAAGATAAAGGACCTTCGCTGGAATTAACTCATTGGAAATATAATAAAAAGAAAAATTAAAAAGATGAAAATACTCTTGCCTAAAATAGGGTTTTACTACTGAAGCACAAAGAGCCAATAACGCCTCCACTAAGGCTCGAACTCACAACCTCCCATATGGGAGTCCAACCCGGGTACCATCTGAACACAAAGTACTTGGCTCAAAGACAAAAGACCTCCGCTAGAATTAAATAACAAAAATAATAATCTGTGACTAGATTTAAAATTACCATAAAAAACAAGAGACCTCAGCTAGAATTAACTCTTATCCTAACCTTTTGTCTTAATACTAGTTTGCATTATAATACTGTATAGTTAGGACACTAGGAGTAGGATACGCTAAAATATTGAAACCTCCAGTGTTTTATCTTCTAAGCGGTCATAAATTGTTTACTATTTATAGAAAAAAATTAAGATGCATATCCACTATTTATGGATGTGGATATATTATTGTCTTTAAAGTTTAAAGTGTTACGTTTTTGCGATATTGATAACTTATTTTTGCGTATAGGTAATGGTGTATCCCATTTTAGAATGAAGTTCATGAAATGTTTGGACCCATTTCTCTGTCGATATATATATATAGCCTAACTCGTTAACGTGATATACGTTACTTCTAAAGCCATGATGAGACTAAACAAGGAAAGCAAATAATGACCCGCATGGGCAGCTCAACTAGTCACAGAGGTAAAACTTTGGAAGAATGAGTAGAGATCGAGTCTCACCAGCGGCAGTGTGGGAGCAACCTCTCGAAGTGAGGGGGGTTCCTTGTGCGCAGTGAGCACAGATCTAGCCTCTGTGGTTCATGTTCAGTTGAGTTGTCGGGTTGGGGTTCAGCCTTTTGGAAGAAGGAAAGCAAATAATGGATTACATTTGACGGGTAGTAAGTTATGTGCAATCTAAATAATTTACTTATTTTTTTTATTCTTTTTTCAGTTAGAATCATAAAGTAGACTTCACCTAAAAGTATACATTTAAAAAAGAAGTGATTGCAAGCTTTCTCATAAATCAAATAAAAAATGCAAATATTGGATTACATTAGCATGGGTAAAAAAAAAAAAATGAAATCCAAAATGCTGAAAATATTAACTTTTAAAATTGGTGAATTGCTGATATGTCACGAAATAGCCTTATATTCGTGCTCATTTATGGTTGCTTTTGGCTCAAATGTTAGGTAAATGATGATGCAACAATTCAAATTTGGTGTATCTTGATTGAAGGAAGAAAAGATTGAGTAATGGTGCAAGTAAGTATGAAATGATGCTAATCTTGGGGGAAAACGAGGCTTAAAAGCACAAGGAAAGCACCCAAAGGCAAATCGGGAAACGAAGGAGCAAAATGATAGCGTGAAGGTCATTTGGAGGGGCTCATGTTGACACTCACACCGTGAGTGCCCGCATAAGTCCGTGGCTGAGCTTCTGATCAGGAGACTCATGTTGAGACTCACTGTGTGAGTCTCAACATGAGTGTGCTGATCAAATTCTGATCACTGAACTCATGCTGACGCTCACACCGTGAGTGCCAGTCACGGTGACTTCTCGTCTAGTACACTGTAGTTTGGTGCGAACTTCAATATCTAAAAACATAATAAGTCTCAATTAAGGTTATATCCTTGATTTATGTCCATCTTTTTGTATGCAAATAAATGTGTACATTTTACTTTAAATGTTGTACATTCCAACCATTAGTTTTTAATTCTAACATTTATAACACATCATTATTACCATACACTTATATCTTTCATATCTTTTTCCTATTTTTTAATTATTATTTTATTAAAATCATTATATATTAATTTAATACTTAATTATATTTTAATTAAATTTCTATGAATGATAAATTATATATGTGTATGTACAAAATACATATATTATTTGTGTATATATAATTCAAATTATAATTTTTAATTATTTGTATTTATCAATGTTTTAATATTGGGCATGAATTTTCGCGCATCGCGCGTACAAAATGCTAGTATAGATATTAATAGTTATTTTATAGTTAGTTTTTCATTTTCAAAATTCTCCCTCTAAAAACTTCTCTCCACAAACACATTATTGGCGTGTTTGGTTCATGGAATAAGTCGGGAATGTAATATCGTTCCCGGGAATAGACCTATTCCATTGTTTGTTTTGTCATTTTATTCAAGGTAATAACGTTCCCGGGAATGAGATATTCCCTTTGCAGGGGGAATAGCCATTCCTAGGGGACCCCCTGGTATTAGTTATTCCCAAGTATTTGGGAATAGCTTTAGTACTATAATGCCGAAAATACCCTACCACCGCCACCACTGACGCCGTTTCCACCACCGCCACCACCACTACCATCGCCACCGCCACCACCACCGCCACCACAACCACCGCGTCCACGGCTACCACCACCACCGCAACCACCACCACCACCGCCGCCGCCACCACCACCACCAACACTAACACCAACACCAACACCAACACCAACACCACCACATATTTTTATAAGGGTATTTATGTCTTTTTAAACATATTTCATTTTATTCCTTAAATCAATCAAACACTGTAATATAATTCCTAAAGTGTATTCCTTCCGCGAACCAAACAATAGAATAGAATTCATATTCTATTCCTTGCCTATTCCATTCCTTATGGAATAGCATTCCTATTACCTCAAAATTCATTCTGTGAACCAAACGTGTTATATATTTGAGAACCTTTCCACATTGTAATCCATCATCTACTAGATCAGAAGATTTAGAGGAAGATTATTCATTGTAATTACACATTCGCCATCAATTCCAGATTATTTCTTTTACTTTAATCATCAAGTTAAGTTCTCCATTTTATATTTTTGCATTTATATTACTTGAACTTTTGAATTCCATGCTTATTACTTCAATTGATTCTAGTTTTACGTTTCAATTATGAGTAGTTAAACATACCCAGGGATTTGAATTGAACTACATTGTATGGATGCCAAGGTGACTTGAATTGCATAAATTAGGGCTTGTATTGCCTTCATGTTGAACTTGGTTATGAATTGGATGAAATTGAATGGACTCTTTCATAATTATGGCCAAATTATGCAAGAGACATTTGGAATTGGTGTTTCACTTATGAGAATAAGGCTACACCATAGACATACCTCTCATATTTCTTACTCACCTTTGAGAAAAGGGGGTTTTAAGGAAATGGGCACACAAAGTGATTGTTTTTTTTTTTTTTTTTTTTTTTTTTTTTTTGAAAAAAAACGAATGCATTGATGATTATAACAAATGGGAAATACAGGCCAGTGGAACAGACCTCCACGACCGTAGGACAGACATAGACTCCGATGCCCTTGCTAATACATGAACGACACAGTTTGCTGACCTTCTGACATGGCGAACAACTACATTCTCGATGTCTCTAGCAATCCAACGACATTGCTTTACAACTAAACCAACATACGAATTGTCTAAACAAGGTGAATTAAAAGCATTGCAAAAATTAAGGCAATCAAACTCTAACACAAGATTATTAAAAGGACATGACTTCAACCATGTTAGAGTTTCTTTCGCAGATAAAGCCTCAGCTAGGTAAGGGTCATGCCCGCATTCCAGTCGGCCACCGCATGCAGCCACGAAACCACCTAGGTGGTCACGGAATACTGCCCCAAACCCAGCTCCATCCTCGAACACTGCCGCATCAATATTGCATTTCAGCATGTCTGCAGGAGGTGGAGACCAAATTTGAGTTGGGATGTTGAACAGATTACGCACTCTAGGTGGAGATAGAGTCTCCTGCCACAGGCTACTTAGCATATCAACCTGACAATGCAAACTCTCAATAGTTTGCTCTTCAGGGCACACAAAGTGATTGTTAAATTGTCTCACCTAGCCAAGTTGTCATGAGAATGAGACTTTGGATTAGTTGTTAGTCCAATTGATCACGACAGTGACTTTGACACTTATATCGTTTCCCCAAGTTTGTCATTTGGAATTGCATATAACTTAAACAATAGACACACATGGGATTCTATGCAAGGTTGTTTGGTTCAAATCTCTCTTTTATATATTGTCTTTCAATTCAATTACTTGTTATCATTATTTTGTTTTTGAATGCTACTAGCTCTATTACAATGTAGTATCTGTTCATATACTTTCTCAACCTACTGAAACACAAAGAGCTATCTCTCTTTTATATATTGTCTTTCAATTCAATTACTTGTTATCATTATTTTGTTTTTGAATGCTACTAGCTCTATTACAATGTAGTATCTGTTCATATACTTTCTCAACCTACTGAAACACAAAGATCTAATAATGCCTCCACTGAGGCTCGAACTCACAACCTTCCAAATTGAAGTCCAACCCGGGTATTATTATAGATTAACAGAACATGCAATACTCCATTGTCTTTTGGTTAGCTTTCAAACACTCAATAATCTCGTGTTTAACCCCTCATTACTCAATTCCCTTAAAGACATTCCTTCGTAACAATACTCACTAAACTTCATCACTAAAACTAACTTTCAATTGCATTTTTTAAACTTAAAAAAAAAGTTATTTTGTTAACTAAAAAAATATATATTCATGTAATAATTTATATTAACACTCTTTTTAATTTAATTTGTTGAGTGACAAAGAAAATCTATGGCCAATATTGAAGATGTGCACTGGGTAAACTCCGTCTTATGATCCTAGTTGCCAAATGGGTAATTCCGCCTCATTATCCTAGCCGGCAAATGATTACAAGGAGGTAAACCAATCTGGCATTTGACCTGTTCAAACCAATAAGGTCAATAGATCACTCCCACAGTGTGTTAGAACTTGTAACCTTGTGATTACCAAACTTGTAATGTTGCCTCCATTTTAACACTATTTTCAATTTATAAAATATAAGAATACCAACAACCTCGAATCTTTTTGATAACATTATACAATCCATGAGGCTCATTATGATTCAAAACAAACAATATTAATTAACTAAAAAATTTCAAATAAATTAAGGGCGTGTTTGGTTTGTACATGGGAATCGGAACCGGAATCGGAATGGAATCAAATACTTGGTAATGGTAATGTGTTTTGGTGAAAGTATTTTGCATGTTTGGTAGGAGGGTGGAATTGGATTGATTATCAATGCTGTTTGGTTATGTATGATCCTATAATGAGAATACATGTTTTTAAAATACAAGAACAAAAAAATCAAGACAATTTATTCTAATATAAAGACATTCAAAGCATCAATATGAACAAACAAAAAATAAAATCAAAACAGAAATCTAAAAGTACTAATCCAAACTTAAAAATCAAATTACCAATTAAGAGGGGAAATAATAGGGTGAATCCTCTATTTTATTAGGGAATGAGTTTCTCATTAAAGGGCAATCAAATCCTAGAGTAGTGTTCTAAAAACCTGTCAACCAAACAATAACAACGACTTTGATTTCTATTCCTGATAGCTAAACCCATGAAACAAACACACCCTAAAATTGAACTAAAGGCTCAGTAGTATATATATTATAAACAAGATTAAATAAATTAAAAACTTTATTATTGATATATTCGAACACATGCAAATACATATATATAATTAATGCCACCTGAACTATACAGATGGGCAGCTTTAATTTTACAGAACACACTCTTCCCTCATCATCATCATTATTATCATTATTATCATTATTAAATTATTATGACTTCATGCATATTCATGGCTTCGGCTTGGCATGGTGATCATCCATATCCTTGGTCATATTAAGAAGAAGCTCCAGATAAGTGAGTGGCTCAGGAATCTCTTCTTTCAGCTTCTCATACTCGAGAGCCCAAGTCACAAAGTTGTCATCACCATTGGTATCAACATGACATGTTATGATGAAGTTCTTATAGGATTCCTTGAGATCACCTCCGATCACTCTGAATTTCACTAATTTCTTCTCATCATCTATGGCCTCAATAACATCCTTCACGGTTTTGGTCTTCCCATCTGCCAAATATTACAATATGCATATGGTAAGAACATTTTGATAGAAAAGGGAGGAAAGATATTAAACCAATTCAAGCTAATTAATTAAGAGTGTACCATGGCTAATTTTCCAGATGATGACAGAGCCCACAGTTCCCCATTGGCCTTCAACTCCGAGAATAGTTGAGCACATGGAGGGCACATGATGAGGTCTTTCTCTAAAGATTTCATGGAAAACATCTCCATGAAAACTTATCTCTATCTGCCCAAGCACCTTGCCTTTTAGGCCCATCTTATAACAAAGAGAGTAGTGATATATATATATGATTCTTAATTAGTTGTGCCAAATTCAGCTGCGCATTGAGTGTTATTTATAGGCCTTCAGCTCTCATTCAGTGGTGGAGGGAAGGGGTGGGGGCAGGGGGCCCAAGGTGTGTAAATCTTCTCTCATATTCAAAATTTAAAAATTTCTCAAAATAGTACTCCGTATGTTTTCTTCTTTTTTTTTTCACCCCTATGAGCATGATAGAGTTTTTATGTTATATAATTTAAATTTTTTTAGAAGTTAGAATTATTTTTATACTTGCCTAAAACATGATTTCACCAAAAAGTCATAAGAAGGACAAAAAGTATTCAAATTATGATAGTCTGGGTTATTAAATGACAATAGTCTGAGACTAAATTTGAAATTAGGAATAAGGTTCAAATTGACCACTGAACGTAACCTGAAAATGCAATTAGGCCACTGAACCAAAAAAAAAAAAAAAGTACAATTAGGCCACTGAACACTCCAAATGTATGCAATTTCACCTGATAGCAGGTTACCTGCTTACGTGGCAGCTAAGTTGGCATTTTTAATAATTTTAAATAATTTTTAATAATAATTAAATTTTAAAAAAAAAAAAAAAAAAAAAACGACGGGGTGGCTGGCCTTCCCCCCCCCCCCCCCACCCATCTTTCTTCGTCCCCGGTGGAGACGAAGGAGGGGGAAAGGGTGGCCGACGATCACCCTGTCGTTTTATTTTTTTTTTTTTAATTATTTATTTTTTTTCAATTTTTTAAAAATTTATTAAAAATTATTAAAAATGTCAACTCAGCTGCCACGTAAGCAAGTAACCTACTAAAATTGATGATAACCTGCTATTCGGTGAAATTGCATATATTTAGAGTGTTTAGTGGCCTAATTGGACTTCTTTTTTTTCGTTCAAAAGCCTAATTGCATTTTCAGGTTACGTTTAGTGACTAATTTGAACCTTATTCCTTGAAATTATAATCAAAGACAAGGGAACGCCAGTAAAATTAACTCATTGTGAAAATAAAAGAAAAATAAAGAGACAAAAAATATCATTATCTAAAATATAGTTTCACTACAAAGTCATGAAAGGATCAAAAGTGTCCCAAATATAATAGATTAGGGTGTTAAATGAAAAATAATAATAATCTGACAATAAATTTAAAATTATCATAAAAAAAAAAAAACAAAGAATCTCCGCTAAAATTAACTCCTTAAAGAAATTATTGCTTTAATATCAGCCACATATTTGTTGAGATAATCATGAAAATGCAGGCATCTTATCTGAGAAAACTTCGACATCCCTAAACTTAGCATCCTACTCACACTAAAATCCTTTTGACTAACATATACCTATTTCAATTAATAAAATAAGTACAACAATTAATATTTCAATAAACTTTACACAAACAATAACAAATTAACAATAGATCACAACAATTGCGCTAACCACTCTTCCAAATGCAGTTGAAGTCTTCTTATTTAATTGGAATAATTGGTGTTTTTTCTTCCACTCATAAATTTTGTTGAGAAGCAATATCCTAATTGGGCCCCAAAAGAGTGAAATCTTTAAATTGATCTAATGAAAGTAATAGATAATAATATATAAATAAATAAATCTTATTGCGTCTGAGTATGGTCGTTGCTTTTTATGTCCGAGGCATCGATCAAATATGTTTTCTTATTTGCTTTTAATCAGCTACTCCTGTTATAATTTGTTTTCTAATCTGCTGCATGCAAAGTGCAATAGTGAACATGTTGCAGTGTTTGAATTTGTACACGCAAACATTAATTAATTAATTAATTGATATTAATAATACTATCAGATATAATAATGAGAGTACACTTTATTATATGTTTAATTAGTAAATGTAGGTATATGAATGTCATATGTTGTTGTATCATAGTAATATTCTTACCGATGAAATAAATTATTTTGGATATATATACTTGACTAATTTATATATATATTTGTATAAATTATTAACGGAGAGCCCGGAGGCTGCATTAAGCATCTCAAGGATTTATCCACCTTGATAATATGAGGTTACATTCTTGCTAATGAAGCTACAACTCACACCAGAAGAGAGGAATTGATTAATTTTGCAACAACAAATATTTGTCAGCAATCTTTGGAGAAAGATAAGTATTTTTGTTTCTAAAAAAATATTAATATATGTATATATGTGATAGATGATTATTCTGTGCAAGAGACCATATTATCCTAGAAACATGTCTTTATCAAATACTTAAATATGTATCGTGATTACCTTAGGTGGATAGTACCTATAATAGTTACTACTCTGTGACGCTTGGCTTGTGTCACACGACATCGTTGCAATGTGGGTTCACGTTGTTGCTATTAAAAAGGTTAGCTTTACATGTTTACATGTATACGTTTACGTTAGATTATTTTTACATCTAACTTGTGATATTAGAGTTGCGTTATCAATGTCTAGTTTATTAACTATGTATTTCATATCATTGTTTATCATTTGCTCAAATCTCTATATGTTGTGATTCTTTTCAAATTTAAAGACCCAAACTCTTTTAAATTGTGGCATGAGCGATTGGCCGGATCGTGTTTTAGTCAAAATATAATGAGTCAAATTTGTAATAATCTTGATTGAAAATTATATATATGTCAAACAGTAGTCAAAGAAAACAATTGATAGACCAAACCAATAATTTTCCCTTATTAAAAATAAAATAATAAATACTTTTTATTATAGAATTTAAAATATTTATGTAATTTTATTATAAAAAAATGTAATTTTATTATAAATAAAATAATACATGATACATTCAACATTTAGGGTCTGTTTCAGAACTAAAAAAAATGTCTTCTGAAAATCATTTTCTTGATTTTTTCGTGTTTGGGTATTTAAAGAAAATAGCATCAAAGAAAATATTTATTATGGTCAACAAAAAAAGAGTCAATTTGACGTAAAATGTCTTCTTAAATTTTTAGTCGAAAGACAATTTTTAAATTTTTTTATTTTCCTATATCTCTCTTCCCTCAAATCTCTTTTCAAACTAAATTCCGAATTATTATTACCACCACACCACCACCATCACCATCACACCACCAACATACAGCAACACCACTTATTATTATTATTACTATTATTATTATTATTATTATTATTATTATTATTATTAATATTATTATTATTATATCCTAAAAAATTATTATTATTATTACTCCGTATTATTATTATTATTATTATTATTATTATTATTATTATTATTATTATTATTATTATTACAAATAATATATTCATTTTCAAGAAATTGAACGAAACATTAAAAATATATATAATTTCTTAATATGCTACCAAACAAAAAAAAAAAAAAATCATACTTTCAGCCAAATACTCGAAAATTAAAATATTTTCCAAAAAATAATTTTTATTTTTTTCTGAAAAATTATTTTCTTGAATAACGTTTTCAAAATTTTTAAACAAACCCTTACTTAAATTTAAAACGTAACATGTTATTCTAGAAGAATACATAATTACATAAACTTGTAGCTCATGGAAAAAATTAAAATGCAATCTCAGCCACATTTATAACAGTTCAACCACAAGAAGGCCCGTGCATTTCTATTTATTTTATTATTATTATTATTATTATTATTATTATTGTTATTATTGTTATTATTATTATTATTATTATTATTATTATTATTATTATTATTATTATTATTATTATTATTACTATTATTATTATTATTAGTATTATTACTATTATTACTACTACTATTATTACTACTACTATTACTACTACTACTATTACTACTACTACTACTACTACTATTATTATTATTATTATTATTATTATTATTATTATTAAATAAATGTTGCATGGCCCTCTCGTTATTAAAATTGCGAGAAAGACTGGCATTCTTGTTTGGAAAATGATATTGTATTAAAATGCAATCTCAGCGACATTTATAACAGTTCAACCACAAGATGGCCAATGCATTATTATTTTTTTGGTTCACACAAGGAACTAGAAGGTCCCAAGAATTAATTAGTAAATTTTTCTTGTAGCCACGTTTCTAGTGTCTCTCGCCTTTCGGGGCTGAGTCATGATTGTTGTCCCAGTTTTGTCTCATGCGTTATTATTATTATTATTATTATTATTATTATTATTAAACAAACTTCAAAGCTTAATTAGCCACCTAACAACTGTTAACAGTGCGTTTCATGGCCCTCTCGTTATTAAATTGCAAGAGAAAGACTGGCATTCTTGTTTGGAAAATGAGACTTAGCTTGAAAAATGGGGAGAATTTTTATTTTTTTAAAAAAAAATCGTAAAATAATGAATTTTCCTTTTAAAAAAATATTTTGAATCCCATTTCATAATACAAAAACTTATATAACAACCAATGTATCTAGTACCGATGCCCTCTTTTCAAAGTTGGCCCTAGCAATAGCTAAAACGATATTAAATGGCATTATAAGTGGCTATTTTGTGGTACAATTATTTGTGGAGTTCACTTTTGATTTGGGTCGGGCCCGGGTTCTTTGTAGCAAGGCGAAGAGATTGATATATTGTACACTCAAAACGGATAATGGGTAAATGAGAAATTGATGCTCAAAATAGACCATTTTGAGTTGGAAATAAAGGTGGAAATGCTTTAAAAAAGCTTTTTGTCCGAAGTTCATACATAAGTAATTTAATGTCGAATTTGTTTATTTAAATATGTAACTCATGGTATATGAATACAATGTAATATATTATAATTGTTACTAAACTTTTTTTAAATAGTAATCAAATATTTTTGTTGCGGGTTCTAATATATTTAACGAATGCACATATATACAAGATCAATGAATGAATCAACGGTATCCGTCCTTTAGGTGTTTTGCTCAGTGTTCATTTAGTTCAACCATTATTGTTGAATAAATTATTACGGATAAAGAAATTCCTAATTTAAGGAATTTAGATGTAGTAAAAATTAAAAAAAAAATTAATTATAATGTAACCCAAAGATATTGGACAATGGGTAAATATGATGTAACCCAAAGATCAAAATGCTAAAGAAAGT